TCCGAAAATATTGTCACATGAAAAGGAACAGAGTGAATGACTCGTTTCAGGTGTCATGGATGGAGTTTGAGACAGTTAGTGCATATGACATTTTCCTGGTGACCAGATTATGCAGTATGAACATGAATCTGGAATACTGGAAATGCTTATTGGAAAATATGATTTATGTCTGGTGATATTTCCTGGTATTTTGACTGTAGGCGAACAAAGACTTGATGCTGCATGATCTAGTTCTGACCCCTCTTTATCTATCTATCTATTTGTATTTTTTATGAATCCCAATTTCAGCTTTTCTAGTGATCTTTAAGCATACCAGCTGCATTCGCATTTCTTCTTCCTTCAAGTTATATTTATAGTGGAAAACAATTTTCCATCTATGAATATCTGAAATTAGTATTCTTAGCTCAAGCTTTAGCATTTTATGTGGCTAATTTACCTCTTAGAAGAATTGGCCATGAAATTTTCTTCAGTTAGTAAGCGCACATAAGTTTCTCGGGCTGCCATAACTATTCAGAAACTTGTATTTTTACAGGCACTGGATGTATCAAGGTGTGACAGACTAAGCTCATCTGCCTTAGCTTTCTTGATTAATGGACATCCTTCAATGCTACAAGTCTACGCTAGTCATTGTTTCCATGTGAGAAAATTTGTTGTTAGAACCTACATTTTGAATAATTCCTTGGCGAGTTTTTGATGTTGGTTCTGCAATTTAGATTGAGAATCTTGATGCACCAGGAGTTTCCTACTGAAGTCATCCAAGGGCTGAAGGACCTAAAGAATCTGAAAACCCTCATACTTGATGGAGCACCGGTTTCTGAATCATTCTTCAAGATCATTAATTTCAATTGCAAGTATTTGGTCGAAATAGGGCTTGGAAAATGCAAAGGAGTGACTGACAAGGGCATTCTCCAGCTGGTATCAGGGGGTGTTAATTTAAATATCTTGAATCTCACATGCTGTAGCGAACTTACAGATAATGCAATATCAGCTATAACAGATTCTTGCCGGAGTGTTTTGTGCCTCAAGTTGGAGTGCTGCAACTTACTCACAGAGAAGAGCCTATATCACCTGGGATTACATTGTTCCTTACTTGAGGAGCTTGATCTTACTGATTGTTTTGGAGTCAATGACACTGGTGAGGCTCAAGCCATCATTCTTTTGTTTTTATTAACGTATTTATTCTGTCTCCATTAAGATAAAGGTAAATTTCCATTTATTCTGAATGACCCAGAGCAAGACATCTGATTTCCCTCGTCTCATCTGGATTCTTTTCCATTTTTTATATTCTTCCAAGTTTTGGGATTTTGAGTTAACTTCCCATTCCTCAAGAGCAAGACATTTGATTTTCTTTTTCTACTTTTCTTTTTCTTCTTTTAATGACATGTGAAGCTTTGTGCATTCATGTCTTAAAGCTCCTCGTGTTAAGTCTTCGATGATATGGTTACTCCAAAACTTGTGCAGTTGGTGACATTCCTTTAAATTAAGCATTTCAAGCTAGGAATTCAGCTATTTTTTTTAGGTCTGCGCTAATATGTGTTGCATCTCATCTCTTCTGCAGGACTTTATTACCTGTCTAAATGTACAAAGCTTATATGCCTAAAGTTGGGATTATGTACTAACATTACTGAGAAGGGACTGTACTGTGTGGCTAGAAATTGCAGCGAGATTCGCGAACTTGATCTATACCGGTAAGGTGATTGCCCCATCTAACTTATCCTGTGAATTTGAAAATGTTTTCTCATATTATATCTTGAAAACCATTTGCAGGTGCAATGGAATTGGTGATGATGGACTCTATGCTTTATCAAGTGGTTGCAAAAGAATGCAGAAGTTAAACTTTTCTTATTGCAGTGAGGTTACTGATAGAGGACTTGAGTGTCTCAGCCATCTACCAGAGCTCTCTGACCTCGAGATGCGGAGTCTTTTGAATGTCACAGGCACTGGTTTAACAGCACTTGCTATGGGGTGCAAGAAACTTGCTGAGCTGGATGTGAAAGACTGTACTAGCATTGATGATTCAGGTTTCATGGCACTTGCTTATTACTCTAGGAATTTGCAACAGGTATAATTTCTCAATCTTGAACTACTCTCTACTTCTTTTAATGTATGATGCTGTTAAATCTGCTTGGCATGTGCTTTCTGCATTACCTGTTGATTCGTAATGGTTAAATAACTATATACCCTTGATCAGTTTTTATCATTTCTCGAAATCCTGAGAACAGTAATTGAGTTATAATCATTTCTTACAACATAACTCCCTTCTCTTGGTCCACAATTACATTTATACAAGTTCCTGGAATATATTTCCTGTAGAGTTATCAGCAACTCTATAACTCTGATTTAGTTGGTACAAGAGTCTGTGCTCCTTGTATGTTTTCAACTCCCTTTTGAGAGTCTAACAAAACTTCTCGTGATAAATTAGGTTTAAAATACTTCAACAGATTTTGGCCTCAAGTCTTTCATAAAACTGAATCAGGTTTTATAAAAAGACTGTTTGTTGGGATCAAGCAGTCCTGGTTTCTTTTTGTTCGAAGTTCAAAATAGCGTAATAATCACGGCGGTGCATAATGGTTCAAGTTTCACTTGTAGATTTGCTAGGTAACTCTTTTTGTATAGTTTTCTGGACCCGTGATAAGATATGTTAGAATTATGTTTCTCGCAACTATATCCACTTTGTTGCCTTCGGAGTTCGGACTTAGTGGACCATTCGTCAGGATTGAGAAATATTATTTCACTATATGCACCACAATGAAAGGACTCAGAATTTTGCATTAACCTTAATCAACTGGTTAATTCTTGGTTGTAATGCTAAAAAAGTTCAGAATACCCTTACTTTTTGGATACAATCAAAGTTTTTGCAAAATTATCAACAACATTAGGACTGGTCAAACTGGATATTGAGTTTACCAACTGAAATAATCAACACATACACTTACTCCATTTCCCCTTTAAGGTTTATTAGCTTCAGATATGTCATGTCACTTAATATTCTTACCAGCAACATCGTATCAGTGATGTATGAACTGGTAGTGATCGTACTTGAACTTTTGAGTTGATATTTTTTTCCTGCATACTCCTGAGGTTTCAAATTAAGACCATCTGAGGATTAACTATATTTTTTCAATATTAATCAAAGGACAAAAGGAATCACATGGAATGAAGTTGTCTTGAAAGACCTACAGTTCTTTTGGAACCTATGCAGACTTAGCTACTGATAGAGCAAAATGGAAGAAAAACATCCACAATAAGGGATATTTACTAATTGAGAACAGGTTTTACCTTATAAATTTATATGACAGTCAAAATATCGAGAACTTCCATTATTAATGTTACTATTATTTATATATTTAACTCATTTTCAAAAAAAATTATTATTTGGTATGACAATGACATGAGTTGAGTTTAAATGGAGAAACATGGTCAGTGAGGATTCATATAACCAACCCCAACTTGTTTGGTATTGAGGCTTAGTTGTTGACGTTGTTGTAAATAAGGTTCAACCATGACGTCTGTTTTAACACCTTTCTCACAGGCATCTGTACGATGGTTACTACACTTTTCAATCAGATCATCAGTTAGAATCATGTCATTGTTTCTTGAAAGTTGTAACATGCTTGGTTGAATTTTATTATTTTTGTCTCATGTCTGTTCAAAAATCAGATGTACTTGACAGTGCATTTGTTTAGTAAGTCTCTTAAATTGAAACGAGCATTCATAAGATCTAATGATTGCCTTGCTGTTGCTCTATGTTTTTATGGTTTAATGAACAATCTCTTATGAGTTTAACTGGGTTATATACTTGTTTAAGTTGGTCAAGCTGACTGAGTTCAATATGAAGGTCATAACTCATAACCATCTAGTGTAATACAAACATTTTGCCGTATAAAAAAAGATACAGACATTTTAATGTCAATTTCACTAAGTTCTACTAGTCGGAATTGACTCAGTTTGTGCAAGTATGGTTAAATTCACTATGCATTCGGACTTGGTTAAGTTATGCATGCATTAGTATAAGCACCAAATTTTCTTCTTGAAATTTGTTGTTAATCCTCGTATATTCCTAAATAAAGTACATTTTGTGTGATTCATACCGTTGTTGTGTCCTTGAATAACTAAACGGGAATAGAGGCTTATGAATTTGTCTACAACTGCTGAAATAAATCTTTGATGGCAGATTAATCTGAGTCATTGTGCAATCTCGGATGTGGGCCTGTGCATGGTGATGGGGAACTTGACACGGTTGCAGGATGCCAAGCTCGTAAACCTTCACAACGTGTCAACCAATGGCTTTGAGGTTGCTCTTCGGGCTTCCGGTGTTCGGCTGAAAAAAGTTAAGTTGATTGCCTCCCTAAGACTACATCTTACGCCGGACATAGTTAAGACATTGAGGGCAAGAGGTTGCAGGATTAGGTGGGATTAAGGTACAATATTCCAGCAGTACATGCCAATGTGTGTTACTATACCCCCCACTTACATGAATACCAATACATTTGAGCTGTTCAACCTACAACTTCTCCCATCATATCAGTAAGCAGAAATTTCCCATCATATTGTTTTGTAAGTACACCGAAGAGATTTTACGCGACTCTTCACTTGTGTAAACTTCTCATGTACCTCTGCAGTTTGGAGATCAACTATATGAACGATAAAACATCATATCAAAGGATCTCTAAAGTTAACGGCAGAGAATATCTTCTTATTAATCCCTTTGCCATTTTGTGCCTGCTCCTTGAGCCGAGGGTCTTTCTCAAACGATCTTTCTACCACCCAAAATAGGGGGTATGGTTTGCAAGTATATTACCCTCCATACCCGGATTACATTAGATATGTTATCTTGTTAATGTTACATGTGAACCAGAAAACTAATAAGTAGAAAGGAAGGAGGAGACCAACAATTTTTTACAAACCAAAAAGTATATATAATGGAGCCCACACACTGGAGAATCTCACTTTAGGTATCCAGAAATAGCCTACTTAAGTTAGCTACCACGAGAAAATTGACAGTTCATTGTAAAAAAAGGAAGGAATTTTGCAACCATGTCATACAAGGCATGCAGGATAACTTGAAAGTTGGAAAGAGAGAAAAGCATATATTTCCATGTTTAGAATTTTTTTTCTTCCATGACAAACAATTCTCAGTTTGTATTCCCTTCCTATCAATCTTTCTTTTAAATTGGCCATTGCAACCATAACCTTTTTCCAATCTTCATCCCAAAAAAATTAAAAAAAATATGGGGATCACCAAATTTCTCTTTATTCTCATTCTCTTACCTTTCTACCAAGTTCTCTGTCAATATGAATATGAAACTTTCCATCCATATCAAAGATCCCCTACTCTTGATCCTCATGCTATGATCATTCAAGCTTGCAGCAACATCCAAAACCAAGCATTATGCCTCTCACACATACAATCCAATCTTGATGATCCTGTCCACAGGGACCCCAATTCAATCCTCAAGGCAGCCATTCAAAACTCCCTCAATCAAGCTAAGTTAACCATTCAATCCATCACAAAATTTAGCACCTTATCAGCTTCATCCAGGGATCAAATGGCCATCGAGGATTGCCAAGAACTTCTCGATTTCTCAGTCACTGAACTAGCATGGTCCTTGGGTGAAATGAGAAAAATCCGAGCTGGTTCAAAGAATGTTCATTACGAGGGGAATCTCAAGGCATGGCTGAGTGCTGCATTGAGCAATCAAGACACATGCTTAGAAGGATTTGAAGGCACAGACCGACACCTCGAACATTTCATCAAGGGAAGTTTAACACAAGTAACACAACTCATTAGCAATGTTCTAACTTTGTATGTTCAATTGCATAGCCTACCATTTAAACCACCAAGAAATGACAACATAACATATGAAAATCAAAAGTATCCACAGTGGATGACAAAAGGTGACAAAGATTTGCTAGTTTCTAATCCAAATGGAATGCATGTAGATGCTGTTGTATCCTTAGATGGAAGCGGCCGTTATCGGTCGATTGCACAGGCTATAAATGAGGCTCCAAGCTATAGTAACAGGAGATATGTGATCTATGTGAAGAGGGGAATTTACCATGAAAATATTGATTTGAAGAAGAAAAAAACCAATATCATGCTTGTGGGAGATGGCATTGGAGCCACTGTCATTACTGGTAACAGAAATTTCATGCAAGGATGGACAACTTTTAGAACTGCAACTGTCGGTACGTAGCTTTCTCATCAACTATGTTGACTTCAGCTGACATTTATATACTTCAACTTTAGATATGCACAAACTGTATATAAATAGACACATGCATTCTACGTGATAACTAGTTCCCTTTCTCTATTGATCTATTTAACAGCTGTTTCGGGCAAGGGATTTATTGCAAGAGACATAACATTTCGCAACACTGCCGGGCCTAAAAACTTTCAAGGTGTGGCCCTTCGTGTGGATTCGGACCAATCGGCCTTTTTCAGGTGCAGCATGGAAGGATATCAAGACACGCTTTACGCCCATTCACTCCGTCAATTCTATCGAGAATGCAACATTTATGGCACCATAGATTTCATTTTTGGCAATGGTGCTGCAGTTCTTCAAAACTGCAAGATTTATACTAGACCTCCACTTCCTTTACAGAAGGTAACAATCACGGCCCAAGGTCGAAAAAGCCCAGATCAAAGCACTGGATTTTCGATTCAAGATAGTTACATTTATGCCACTAGGCCCACTTATTTGGGCCGGCCCTGGAAAATGTATTCAAGGACTGTTTACATGAATACTTACATGAGTGGAATGGTCCAGCCCAGAGGATGGTTGGAGTGGTATGGGAACTTTGCTTTGAATAGTTTGTGGTATGGTGAGTATAAGAATTATGGGCCTGGATCATCACTTTCGGGTCGGGTTACGTGGCCCGGTTACCACATTATCAAAGATCCTTCATCGGCTAATTTTTTCACTGTTCAACATTTCATCGACGGCATGTCGTGGTTGCCGGCCACCGGCGTCCAGTTCTCAGCTGGTCTTACTAAGTAGGCTGCAGTAACGTATAGTTATAGTTTAATTGTTTTCATTATTTTATATAATATATTGTATATTATTCAAAATGGCATTTTATTGAAGAGCAATAGTTATACCCTACCACACATATTTTATGCAGTTAAACTGCAATAAAAACTACATTGAATGTTTAGGAATACTGCAAAATGTGTATGCTTTGATTTTTAGAAACATGCCATTACTTCTTATTAATATATATCATACAGCTGTCTATGATTAAATATTTTGGTGTGCTTGAATTTTTCATATGTATGTGTTGATCGATCAAAAAGATATAGAAGATTTGTTTTAAGTTGACTTTTGTTTAGCTGTGTTACGTTGTCAAATTGCATAGATGAGGAACAGAATGCGCTGGTGGATCGAATGTTTGACATCTCCACAGCTTGGCACGTCTTAATTTGGTCTTGACTTATGTATATTTATTTATATATATAATTTAAATTCATGATTTAGTCTTTATATCTAAAATGATCAAACTTTCATTGAATTGGAATACCCCTAATTGGTGAACGCAAAAAAGATGACTTATAGTTCACAATCTCCTAAAATCATGTGATTACTATTTTAATTTTGTCTTACCATGTGCATAATTTGACACGTGAAATATATATATCGAACAATTATTATTTTTTAGGCTTTTCAATTGCTAAATGCAACGTTGTCAATAGTGATGTTCTTGCCCTTTATTTGTTACAAAGGAAAACATTTTCACCTTTGCCTCGACCACCCCCCCCCCACCACACACACTCTCCTACCAGCCCTCCCATTAAAAAAAATTTAAAGATTTTTTTTTCATCTCTATCAACGACCCACGCACCTCTTTACCCCTCCTCCAAAAAGATTAAGTTTATTTTAAAAAAAATATTTTTACATTCAATTTTTTTACTTTTTTATCCCTATTCTCAATCCCCCAAACCCCGAAAAGAAATTAAGTTTTTTTTATATTTATAATACAATAAAATTAAATGAAGCATTTTCAACATATTATATCTTTCAAAAAAAAGACTAAAATATTTCACCATGTTGAATTCTTAAATAGAATACTATTTATTCATGAAAATATGGGTAAACTAGTAAAACCTAACCCATTGGTTACCCAATCCATTTTTACCCATATCAAATGAACAACTTTCACATATAACACACACAAAATTAATATTTGTATGTCATAGTTGTAGTTTGCATAATTGTGCTCCATAACAAACATGTTATGTCTATTTTCGCTATACATATATACAAAAGAAGTTAGGTTATTTTGCTATACATATATACAAAGAAGCAATTGTATAATTCGTTGGCGCCTCTTCCAATTTGTATAATTTCGCTAGTAAGTCATTTGTATAAATTGTTGCCAGCCTCTCGTTTGTATAAATAGTTGATAGCCTCTCAATTCAATTTTATGTGTTTGTGTATTTGTATAAAATTTGAATTTGTATATAATTGAATCAAAATAAAATGTTTCTATATCAAATATTATTCTCTCTCTCGCTTTATACAAATATAATTATACATTGTATTTTGTATAATCTGTGTTTGTATAAAGTGAGAAAGAAAGAAAGGCAAAAGAGAACTGTAGGGAAATATTCGTCTTCTTATAATTATAGTGTATAGAACGAAGATATATGTATTTGCATGTGTATATACAATTTTCTACCGTTACATATAAATAGAAACACAATTTATACATTTCTGATTGTATAAAGTGAGAGAGACAAGCGATAGAGGGAGCAAATGGGAGAGTGACGAGCGAGAGTTTGAGGGAGAAAAACGACTGATAAACAGTTTACTACATGACACAATTAAATCAAAATGTGACTATAACATTTAATTTAAATTATTAATTTGTTATTATATATAATTTTTCCTATCAATATAGACAGATTGAATTACTATCCATTTTATCTTTGACCAATTTTCAATCTGTTCAAATTTAATGCGACCAGCACATTTGCCTTCCGTATTCAAGATAAAGGCGACATAAATTAGTCTTTGTAAGTTGTGCCGATTCGTCCCTGACCTTGTACATAAAAGGACAATTCTTGACATTAATAATTTATTAGTACAAAACTATCTCATACATGATCCATCCATCACTGGTCAGTAAAACAAGGGCAATTTTATTTTTTGTATTTTTCAGAATTGTTCTCCTACCTTTTGTGTGGAATGCACTTTTATTAAATCTTTTCCCTTTTATTCGTAGCGGAGAACCTGTTGCACGTCTATGACAAAGCTTCATAAATATATATACCTAGCTGAAAACAAAGTTAGCTACATATGTAACTCATGTAAGGTGCCTTTATAGGAAAAACTTCTCGCACATAGTATGATATCAAGCTAAGAATCTATCTCTTTAGATTATTTTAGCTCAATAGCTCACACAAAAATTAATGATTTAGCGAGATGAGTATGAAGATGGTGTGTGATTGTGTAGAACCTTTTTCAGTGTCTTTTGCTACCCTTATCTCTTTTTTTTCCCTAGTTTCTCATTAGTTGTTTAGTACAGAACCCGACTAAATTTGAATCGTGTTTGAAAAGTTCCAACCCAACAAATCCTTCCTAGTTCAAGATGGAATTTAAATACTCAGGCTTGAAAGTTTAAAAGTTCACTAGGTACAGCTTGATTTTGCTTGCAAATCGATGTGTAAATTTTGCATGATAACAAAAGTATCGCAACCCCCGAGAATCAGATATTTACCAATATAAAATATAGCCCACTTTTCAATACCAAGTTGCACCATGATCAATCAATCCAACTATATATATTATTAAAAAAAATGACAATTTGCTTATGAAACTTAATTCCTATATAAATGCATGTCTCTCATATAAGCCTAGCTAACCATCTGCTTGCCATGGCATTCACACATTCTATTCTTGTATTCTTCATAATTCAGTCCTTTTTCACTGCCTCTTATGCATTTGGTCTCTCTTCTGATGGAATTTGCAGCATCACCCCTTTTCCTAATTTTTGCAAAACTTTACTCCCTCCAAACAATTCTATTGACATCTATGACTCAGGAAGGCTCTCCATTCAGCTTTCCTTTTCAACAACTAATCAGATTATTAACTCAATTATTGATTTCCTTGATCTAAATTATCTATTACTCCCTAAAAGCACAGTGTCTGCTCTCCATGATTGTCAGTATCTACTTCGCTTAAACGCTGATTTATTATTAAATGCTGCTGATGTTGCAAAGAAAACGAATAACTCACTTGAGAATTCAGAAGCTAATGATGGTGAAACATGGCTTAGTGCAACTATTACTAATACACAAACTTGTTTGGAAGGTCTTCTAGATGCGCCTTCTGTTTTACCAGTTGCTAACCTGATTACACCTTTAATTTCTAAAGGTACGTTGTGTTGAAGTTTGTAATCATTTTTATTTGAAAAGCTTAGAGCTAGCATGATTAAAGTTACTTAATTATATTATGTCTTTAACAGGTAGTATGATGTGTAGTGTGTCACTTGCACTTTTTAAGAAAGGGTGGAATTCAGGTTCTGGTGTAGGAGATTATATAAGTGTGAGTATGCTGAAAATTAGACAAAAAGTGGTGGTGAATCCAGATGGAAGTGGGAATTATATTAGTATCAACGACGCGATCGCAGCTGCGCCAATTAATAGCATAGAAGAGGAAGGCTATTACCAGATATATGTGGTCGCTGGTGTCTACCATGAGTATGTTTCCATTACTGCAAACAAGAAGTATTTGATGATGGTTGGAGATGGCATTGACAAAACTATAATCACTGGGAATCGAAATGTACCTGATGGATGGACAACTTTTAATTCTGCCACATTTGGTAAGTTTGGAATATTTACCAGATCTTGAGTACTATAGTGCTAGAGCATAATTTATTAAAGATTTTACAGAAGAGGAAAAATCGGCCATGATAAATTTCTGTGCATATTTAGTACACCATGCAGTTCCCATGTCCTTTCTTTAAGGATTATATATTTCCTAGACGTCATATACTCTTATTTAAGCTTCTTAAATAACTAATGTAAGTGAGTCAGTTCACTTTTAATTGTCATGATTTATTTTTTCAAAGTCAAACCTTAAAAACTTTGTTCAACATTTTAAGATTTATTTTTTCATCATATTGATATTGCAATTTTTTAAGATTTAAGATATAGTTTTTGAATATCTAAATTTTTTGTTTAAAATATTGAATTAATGTAATTTATTTTAAGCTTGAAAATTTGTCAGCTTTGACTTTCAGAAAACGTACGTGGCAATTAAAAGTGGAGAAAGAAAGTATATATCATAACCAATAAAGCTTATAAAGAGGTTGAGGAATATTTGAGGTTTGTTAGAGTGGTAAAAGTTTCATATTGATTGGGAAATGGATTAGTGGTATCCTAAATCCTCCCTTATAAATTAGTTTTTGAGATTGAGCTAGTCTCAAATATCATATCTTTACATAATTGCAGAGTCAAATACATTTGGTTGTGCGGAATTTGAGATAATACGAGAAAATATAAACGCAAAAAACAAGACAACAGTTTACGTGGTTCACCAATAAATTGGCTACGTCCACGGGAAGAGAGGGAGCAGTTTTATTATGGAGAGGCAAAAACAGAATTACAGAATAGGGTTTCCCATAGCGTCTATATATAGTGCTAAGCTACGCCCTAACAGGCTTGGGCCCAACATACAGAATCAACAGAAAATTAAGACCCCCGGTCCTTTCTGTTTGTAGCGGGTCCGATTCAAGGCATTCAACAACATTCTTGTTTGAACTGTCGAGATGATATAAAGGTTGGTTGGGGGAAGACAAATGGGGATAAAGCCTACTTAATAAGGCCTGCAATTATAGGGAAAGAACATGCCTACTTTTTTTTAAAATTGTGTTACACATGACATTGTGAATAGACTAGTGCAATTAGGCTGTTATAGTAGCGTATTTCATTACGAGTAGTTATTCCTTTTAACATTGTTAAGGCACGTAACTTCATTTAGTATTTTTTTTTGCATGAATCTATAATGACTGATGCAGCTGTAGATGGGCAAGGATTTGTAGCAATGAACATTACATTTAAGAACACAGCAGGAGCAGCAAAGCTCCAAGCTGTAGCCGTTCGGAATAGCGCTGATCTATCTGCGTTCTACTACTGCAGCTTTGAAGGCTACCAAGACACACTTTACACACATTCTCAGAGACAATTCTACAAGTACTGTAATATCTACGGGACTATAGATTTCATTTTTGGGAATTCAGCTGTTGTTTTCCAAAACTGTAACATATATCCGCGTCTTCCATTGCCCGGTCAGTTTAATGCAATTACAGCACAGGGCAGAACAGATATTAACCAGAACACAGGCATATCCATCCACAAATGTACCATTACTCCGTCTATTGAGTTGGCCTCCTATAGTGGCACTAAACCAGTACGGACATATTTAGGAAGACCATGGAAGGAGTATTCGAGAACTGTTTATACGCGATCATTTTTGGATAGTTTTATTCATCCTGATGGTTGGTCGATTTGGACAAATGATTTCGCGCTGAGTACGTTGTATTATGCTGAATTTAAGAACGATGGTCCTGGATCAGACACCAGTAAAAGGGTCAGATGGCATGGTTATCGCGGTGAAATTAGTTATATGGATGCATCTTCTTTCACTGTCTCTAATTTCATATTCGGGAATTATTGGCTGCCTTGGACTGGAGTCCCTTACACTGGTGGTTTATATTTATAACAAGCAAGAATTTTTTTATTTCTTTATTTGGTTGTGTTCTTCAGCTATTTTCCAAGTGATCACTCTTATCTAATTCATTATGTATTTGTTTTTTCACCTCAAATATTATATGTGATGCATTCATTTCTTGGTTTATTTAGGCTGTAAACGCGTAAATAAAGGTGTTCATATGATATTTATAGTTATTGTTAATGTTAAATAGAACTGGTGTGTTTAATGCGTGTAGAAAGAATGGATTAAAAGTTGCCAACGGAGGATGATTAAACATCACTGTTTTATCCCCGTAAGTTAAGGTTTAAAATATTGATCATTCAAAAAATAAGGAGTTAATGGATGGTGTTAAAAATCTCCTAACTTTTTGGAAGCTATAATAAGACACAAATGAACAAGTTTCAATTTTATCCTCCGTCAATATGCTTGTTTCCCTCTAAGCTTCTTATCCAGAACAGAACAATGTTTGGGGGAAAGCTATAACTTGTCTTTAGTCTCATTCGTTCTTTTTTCAGCCATTTTGAGGAGAGGGTCAAGAGCAATCCTCCAGGCCCTTCTCCGTTACAATTTGGTGAATTGCACGTGAAGCAGTAATATTTCTAATTATTTGTTTTACAATATCAAATACATTTTAAGAGTAGAGATCAAGCAATGGCGGGAAATAATCGTAAGAGGAATTTCACCATTATTGGTGTGTGTTCATTAATCTTGGTGGCTATGGTAGTTGCAGTAGTCGTAACGATGAATTGGAATGATAAAGAAGCTGAGGCTCAAGATGTTACGAGTACGAAAAAAGCTATTGAATCCATATGCCAGACTACACAGTATCAAACTACATGTGTTGAGAGCCTTGAGTCCACGGGTGAATGCTCCTCAGATCCCAAAGAACTTATCCAAAAGTCATTTCAGGTGACAATTAAGAAAATTAAGGAAGCAATTGACAATTCAACATTTATGCAAAAGCTTGAGAAGGATCCAAGAGCAAAAATGGCCCTGGAGAACTGTGAGAAGCTAGCGTTGCAAGCCGTTAATGATCTCAATAGAACACACCTCAAATTCGAAAGTTTTGAGTTCAATGACCTGAGTCATTGGATTGCTGATTTGAAGATTTGGTTGAGTGGTGCAATTACATATCAAGAATCTTGCTTGGATGGCTTTGAGGACACTACCGGAGAGGCGGGGGAGAAAATGAAAAAGGCACTGAATGTTTCTATGCAGCTAACTAGCAATGCCCTTTCAATGATCACCGAGATTTCCGATGTCTTCACAAGCCTCAACGCTGGATCCAATCGTCGTCGTCTCCTTTTCGATGATACCCCTGTTTTGGGTCATGGCATTGAGTTATTACCTGATTGGATTGATGTGGGAAGGCGCAGACTTCTTGCTGTTAACGTGTCTAACGAAATCAAACCCGATGTGGTTGTTGCCAAGGATGGATCAGGCAAATACAAGTTTATCAATGACGCTCTCAAACACATCCCGGAGCATAGAAACCAGACTTATGTTTTGTACATTAAAGAGGGTGTTTATGATGAGAAAGTGGAGATTCTTAGCACCATGTCGAATTTGGTGATCATTGGGGATGGTCCAACCAAGACCAGAATCACCGGAAACCAAAGCTTCAAAGGTGGCGTTCCAACCTATCAAACTTCAACTGTTGGTAAGTCTCGGTACACAACAAATTACTTATACATTAGTTAAATACGAGTTAGTTACTCCCTCTGTTTCATTTTATATGACATTCTTCTCTTATGGTCTATTCTTAAAAAAGGAAACAGAGGGAGTTTATTTCATAACACTACATACATAATTGTTCTTGATTGTGATTTAATAGAAGAGTAACTGTGACTATTGTAGCTATAATGGGAGATTATTTCGTTGCTAAGGACATTGGTTTCGAGAACACTGCTGGTCCAGATAAACATCAGGCCTTAGCTTTGAGAGTGGCAGCAGATAAATCAATCTTCTACAATTGCCATATGGACGGTTACCAAGACACTCTCTGTGCCCACACCTATAGACAATTTTATCGGGATTGTACGATCAGAGGCACCATCGATTTTGTTTTTGGGGATGCTGCTGCTGTGTTCCAGAACTGCACTCTCGCGGTACGAAAGCCTATGAAAGAACAACACTGCATTGTGACAGCACAAGGCAGGACAGATCTCCGTCAGCCATCGGGAATTGTCTTGCAAAACTGCAGTATTGTGGCTGATGAATCTTATAATGAGGTCAAGGGGGAAGCCAAGACATATCTTGGGCGTCCATGGAAACAGTATTCAAGAACTATCATAATGGAATCTAAAATAGATGATCTGATTCAGCCAGAGGGATGGTTGGAATGGAACAAAACATTCGCTTTTGACACACTATTCTATACTGAATTCAACAATAAAGGGTTAGGATCATCCAAAGCAGATCGTGTAACATGGTCAGGTGTTAAAGAACTTCCTATTGAACGTGTTCAACGATTCACAGCATCAAATTTCCTAGATGCGGATTTGTGGATACCATCTACTGGTGTCCCTTATACCTCAGGATTTCTCTTATCGCCACCACAATCTGATTCTTCCATCGTATACTCCCCAGTGAACGACCAAGAAAACAAAGACCTCGCCAGTGGTAAATTTCAAAACTTCTTATGAATCTCCGCATTAGACAGTTTTAAGAATTAATTACTATAAGCTTCATAAAACATTTCTAAACAACTTCTTAAAAAGAAAGAGTATCTTTTTATATAAAACCAAATGTTCGTACATATCTATCTGCCATATGCAAATGTACACACATACATCTAAACAAAACTAGAAACTATATTGAATTTGTAAAACCATCAATCAATAATAGAACTACCGCACTCCAACTTGCTGAAATTGTTTTTCTTTTTTTTAATTTCTAGTCGGATAAATTGCTTAGAACTGTAAAATTGAATTAAAAACAAAAATGAAGACTTTAACCTGTGAACATTAATGCAACAGTGGGTGGAGCTGCAGCTCCGGCGTCAGCTCCCGCAAAATCCCCGACCGATGCTCCTGCAGACGCTCCGGAGTCAGAATCGCCAGAGAAATCTCCCTCAGGATCCCCAGCGGGATCCCCGTCACAGTCTCCGGCAGCATCTCCACCAGAATCTCCGGCAGCAGATACAGATGAATATAAGGCGACAGCACAAGCACCGAGCTCAGCGGAATCTCCGAGCGGACATATTTGGCTGCAGGGTAGTGGGAGTGACGGCAGCTCCTAACAAGAAATCAGGTGATTGGGGCCTAATTGGCTTATAAGCTTTTGATGAGAATATTCATCTTCTTTGATTGGGAATTTCATTCGTTCAAATCCTCTCCAATCAACAATTTTTGCTACTATACTTGGAGATACAGGAGACCCAACTGTTGCTAACCGCTCAAACAAATAAAATCTGTGTATAGGAAAACAAAAAAAAATTCTTTTGTTGAAAAAAAAATATATTTTTGATATTTTTCTCTGTCATAATCAGACTTGTATTATATTCCTTTATTTTTAATGTCTTTGAGTATATTTAGGAATTTGTTGTGATGAATGCTTGAATATTTGATATTAGGTGAAAATAGTAAGATAATTGGATTTTCTCTTTCCCAAGTCTTTGTTGATAATTTCACAAATGAAAAAATTACGTGAATTGGTATATTTTAATAAATAATTACTAATTTTAGTGATATTTTTTATTTATTATTGTTTATGACAAAATTATATCAAATCTACAATATATATTAAAAGTGATTTATATATGCAATATATAAATTATAATTACTTTTTGAAATATATTGTGTTTCTTTGATAAAAATTTGACAGATCGTATTATAAATGTATAATAAATGTAAAATTTATCATTAAAATTTATATTATATTGTGAATAATAAATTATTCTTTTGTATATGTATTACTTATATTATAAAAAAATTAAAAGTGATCAAATAAAAAAATATTATTATTATAAATAAAAAATATTATTTTATTATAATATAATTTACGTAAGTTTCCCAAAAAAAATTATGCCAGCGTTATTGTTGGTTTAGAGGCATCTCCCTGAACTCAATTAATCTAAATTTACATTTGTAAAAATTTATTTAAGATTTAAATAAAAGTATTTGTTTAACTATGAAGGAACATATACCATTTAGTCAAAAAATAATAATAATAGCGTCATTAGTTAATGTATCTGAATCACTCATTGACGTTTATGTTTAATTTTCATTATATCTAATTTAAAAGTTTATTTGATTAAGCTTTTGAAAATTGATTAGTTTAAATTCATCAAATCTTCTTTAGAAAAAAAAGAAGTTTTTTGAAATTGTAGCCGTTCCTATTTTGTCAAATTAGGAAACACTTTTATTTATATTTAATCAGTCTTTTTAAAATGTGATTTTGAAATTGAAGATATAAATAAGTAATAATTCAGTAGAAATATATATTCTAACATTTTTCAAATATAATTATAACTTAAGTCTTAGATCTCTTGTGATAATTCAATTTAAACACATAAAAAATGGCATCATAATTTATATTGTTAAGCCCGTGCATAGCACATGCAATAGTCATCTAGTTATTTATATAAAATCTCTTACTCATCTAGTTATTTATATAAAATCTCTTAATGGAGTGAATAAATGTGAACAAGATTTGTAGTAGTACTTTCATCAATTATATTTACTTGTTATTAGGATTATCGTTTATCTTTATTAATTATTGTCTCCACCATTATCAATTATGTTTCACCATTTATTATCCTCAACTATAACTATCATTATTAATAATTAAGGATAACTTCTATCATATGATGTCTTAAAAGGCCTATATAATAAATTAGACGAAGATCATTTGTTTGTCGAGTTAGAATTTACATATCGTACTTAATTTTTTTAAAATATAATATCAAATACAGAATATTTGAATTAACTTATTTTAAGTAACTTTTTCTATTTTTGCCATACTTAAATTTTTTTTTTTAACAAAAAGCTTTAAAACAGTAATTCTCAAACGATAGTAATATAAAATAAATTAGAATATTTAGATATATCTAAAAAGTCAATCCAAAGACTATGAAATCTCTCAAATAATACTTTTATTTTTCTAAGATAAAAAGAAAAACTATAAAAGCCTTTGTCAAACAAGCCATAAATTTGAAGTTTAGAGATTTTACTTTTTTCGAATGGAATACTAGCATAATACCAAGATTACCCTCTCGAGAAACGTAAAATCCAAAGAAACGCCAAGCACATTCAACTTGCACGAGTTTGTCGTTTCTCTCCTCACAAGGGAAAAAAAAAGCGGTCACCACATCGGCCGATTTCCATGGCCGCCTCTTCGTCCCCATCGGCGTCGGAGTCTTCATCTTCTTCAGGTCACAGGGAGCGTAAGCGTCATCGGCGCAACCGCAAAGACAAAGATAAGGACTCTCTCAAGATCCGCAAGAAGAGCCGCTCTCGCACCAAACGTCATCGTAGCCGTCATTCATCGTCCGATAGCTATTCTTATTCCTCATCATCCGAAGATTACAGGTCTAGTTATATATAATTCTTTTCTTATGGAGAATGATTTTAGGGATTTGACGATCTTGCTTTATGAAGTTAGGGTTAATTAGCCGTGTAAATTGATTCGAAGGATCAATGCTAGCTAGATATGAGTTATTCAAATGATTGCTTATTTGAAAACGTTTTGTAGTCCTAATAAGTATCGTGAGCTGCAGTGTGTTCTTCACGAAGATATTTGTCACCTTGTCAATATAAATAGATAGTGAGGTGTTCCGTAGCACCTTATCTATACCCCTTAATTAACTGTTAATTGCCGAAAACTGGATATTAAGAGTCAGACAAGTAATAAGTTATAATCAGTCAAAGTGTTCTTTAAGGGTTATGTAATGTTGGATACCTTGATTTTTTTCTATTTAAGTTAGGAAAGTTGCTTGGTGACTACTTGCAGCAAGTTGGCGTGCGATTTGGAAAAGAATGTCATCTATTTCTCAACCAAGGGAAAGAAAGTTGCTGAACTGCAGCTTGTAGTGATGTTAGCTTAAATCAAGCACAAACTAATTGCTTCGTCTATATGAATTGTCACTGACCATTTTACTCCTTTATACTCATCTCATGCTTCATGGCAATATTATGCTTATACAAATATTTTTTATTAGAAATGTATTTTTCTCTTACAATTTATTTGGGTAGAAGGATATAAGGGGTTATGAAATTGGTTCCGTGCTTGGCTTTGGGTATTAGCTAAAACAGGAAAAACTCTATACCAAAATTGCAGATTAATAATTGGGACAACTTTGTTTTGAACTAAGTGACCCTTAAAGATTAAACTACTACTAGAAAGCATAAAACCTATAGTAAATTGCTATTGTGGGGATCTGTTTAACCCAGGAATATTATCCTAAATTAGTATTTACACTAACATGTCAATTTTCAAATGTGTGATTGTTTTATATTGTGGAGGGCTCCTCTTGCTATCCTAGTAACTGCATGTCATGCTATGTCTCTGTGTTCTGCAAAATGCTTATTGATTCTAGCCTGCTGTTAGCGGGAGGTCTCAAGTCTTTATCAATTAGATGGATGCTTCCTTTTTCCTTGTAACCATCTTGTTACAACTCTTTTGCCGACAGTTCTTCAGACAGTGAGCGTGAAGCAGTCAGCAGTTCAAAAAGACACATACAGAAAGATAGAGGCACAAAGGTGGTTGCTTCAGAAGATCTGATTATTATTCATTCAAATTCAATTACATGTGTTGCTTGAAAGTTGATATATTACCAGCTTGTTGTCTTTTTAGAAGAAGAATAAAGAGAAAGGGAAAAGTCACCGGCAAAAACGTCATAAGAATAAAATTAAAGAGGTAGATTTTTGTTTTCATAATCAAGCAGTCTTCATCTATTCTGCCAGATTTCCTCTGCATTTTATGTTCTCATGTCTTACACAATTACACTGAGCATATAAAAGTTAAGAGTGTACAGTTTCACTGTCCATATGAAGTTATGAACTTCTTAGATTTCATTTATTGGGAGTAAATGCATTTGGTTACAGTATGAGATGCTTATAGTATTTTTCTGCCTGTTGTTTTTTACGGCTCTTCAAAATTGGAGCTGTGGACATGATGACTGTATGCTCGGTAACTTGCATGGTTTTGTTACTTGTTTGTGGATTATGGTGGCAATGCGAGCCATATGCAGAAGCAGCAGGTGGAAAGTAATGGCCCTGTGCAGCTCTCTAAGGTTTTACGATTTCATACTTAAAATTGTAGTTCTCTTTTAGGAATTTTCCCCCTTCTTTTTTTCACATGTGTAATCTACCAAATCCAGTTTTTAGGTCGTGACAAAGATGATGGGGTCCGTCGCAGTGCTGTCTCTGGAAAAAAGGTATGTTCATCTTTTTGGGGAACATTTCTACTAGTGTTTGTTAATACTTTGAAACATGGGTGGCATTAAAGCTGTGTTGGTTTTGTTTCTCATTGTGGAATGTCAGTGGGTTAAATGTTCTCATTTTGTAGATTCTCTTGAAGCTAGACAAGACAAAGGAGGATAAGGAAGCAGAGAGTAAACGAAATGAATTACTCAAATTCCTGAATGCAAGTTATGATTGATTATTGAAGCCTAAAAGTTGGTACAAGTTCCCCACATGTCCAAGCAAATGTTGAAGCAATGTATCAAGTATCAATGTTCTCATTGTAGAACTTGGATCATTTTGCCTTTATTGGTGAGATAGGTTCGGTTGAATTCAGCCTCCAGTTGTAGTTCAGTACCATGCTTCTGCATTTCTGCTGCTTCCAGTGTGGGAAGTTTGTGAAAACACCATAGCATTAAGCTCTCATATATGGTTTTACAATACCATACAATGTGATGTTAAATTGTTGAAGTGTTTTGGCTTATCGTTGGTGACTTTTATGGGACGAAACCACCGTTGTTTTCTGAGGAGAACCAACTTGCAAACTCAGCTCCGTCTAGTTTCAGAAACCATGTCTCGATTTTTGATATATGCTTATATTTGACTAGTACAAATTTACCCCCTCTTTTTACCCAATGTGATTAGATGATTGAAATTAAATTTGTGCTGCTAAATCTTTCTGCCTTATTGATTGAGGCAGAGCGTAGGAACTCATATGACCTTGCTTAGTGAGTAGGTTATCTCCTGTGATTTTATTTATATTAAGCATCATTTGTTCTTATTGTATGAAGTCCATCTTTGAAAAAGACTCAGGATTCTGGAGATTTTAGATGTGTTACAGTACTTACTGCAGAACAAGAAATAAAATGAATTGAAGGTATCATTGCTAGTCTTAGCCTGACTATTCATATTATTTCATAAAGGATATAATTAGAACGAAGATACTGGAAATATATTTATTGACATGGATATAGTAAACTACCTAAGACAAAATCTACTGACGTTCTTAATCATGGTAAATCTATCTATATACAACATTCTATCAGAGACACCTTGTTATTTAAAAGAAGATTCGAGATTTAATCTTGATGGATCGTTCTCAAAGGTTTTTAAAATTTTTTTAGGAAGTAGTGATTTAAAAGTTAGGTGGATTTTCACGCATTTTGGATGAACATGTTGCGTAAGAGCTGCATTAATCTTTGTAACTGAAACTTGGCTTATTTCTGATGAATATTGTGCCAAAATCAAGTTTAGGTGAAGGTTATCTTTTCTTCCTAATCCTAAACATAATAGTTGTTGATATGAATACCCAGAGTCCCAACACACATAAAATCCCAAAATTCGACTGCGCAACGCTCATCAACCAAATATTGGCACTACTTGAAATGACGAAAGGAGGTCATTAATATTATTTGATACATACAAACAACTAAAGAAGAAAAACTAAACTTACTAAAAGTAGAAGAAACAAAGCTGGGTACTTTTCTTTCTTTTTTTGCATAAACGTAAGCTGTCTCTCGTGTTACAACTCCACCTAGCACAAAAGACAAACAGCCAGCAAAGAACGGTGTTACGGTTTGCTTATCTTGAAGACTTGCTCTACCTAAGCTCATCTTTGTACTTTCCATAGACAATGACAATCTGCCAGCAACTTCACATTATTCATGCAACCTTATAATAGTAAAAAAAAATATAATATTGATCAACCTTTTCTTTTGGACATGGTCAGTTTTGTAAGGTGAATGTGTCCTCATTATTTGGAAAACCAGTTGACTACAACCATAAAAAAAAATAGTTTATTTTGACTTGTTAGGATAAAAGAATTGTTTATTTTGACCCTAGGAAGTTCTATATAAACTCTCACTTTCCAAAATTATATTCCCTTCAATGCAAACACAATCACTGTCTCTTCCTTCATATCTTCTTTTGGAATCAATCAATATGAAGTTCATACTCTTCTTTGCTTTATCCCTCTTCCTTCAAGGAGCTCTTGGTAATATCTTTAATTTCTTCGTCATCCTTGATACTCCCTAGATCAGTTTCAATTTATTCGTTTGGTAACTCTTTATTCTAAATTGATATTTTGATACATTATTTTTAGTTTAAGACCACAAAATTTAAAAAAAAAATAAAAAAATTGACAGCTTGATATAATGAACCAAATGGAGTAATAACTAACTAGCATAGTTTTGTTAATATCAACTTGATATAATGAGTTATCTTTCAGGTGAGTTGATATGCGAGGAATTACCAGTTGAAATGTGTGCGCTTTCAATTTCGTCGGACGGAAAGAGGTGTGTGCTGGAGAGTCGTCCGTCTGAAGAAGGAAATAATGAAGTGGAGTGCCAGACTTCAGAAGCATTTGCAAGTAATAAAATGTTGCAGGAATATATAGAGACAGATGAATGCGTTGGTGCATGTGGTGTTGATAGGCAATCTCTTGGCCTTTCATCAGACGCCCTTGTTGATTCTAAATTCGTTGCCAAACTCTGTTCACATCACTGTTACAACAATTGCCCCAATATTATCGATCTTTACTCTAGTGTCGCTTCTGCTGAAGGTAAGGTGTTTGGATAATATTTGATTCAAGTTGTGTTTGAAATTTTGAGAGGGAAAATTACTACTTCATTATTTGAAATATTTTTGGCCAAATTTTGAACTTGCAAAGTCATGACCTAGTGATGATTTCAAATCTTTCACATGATTGGTATTTGATTTAGTTGATACACATATGTGCAGGATTATCTTTGCCCAAAATGTGCGCATCTCAGAAAACTCGTCCACGCCGTGGAATGTCTCAGTCCGCATTCCGAAGTTCAGGTGCCGCTGCTCTGGTCGGTTATGGCGGTAGTGCTGGTCCAGTTTCTTCCGCAGATCCACCTGCCGTCGATGATCCAGCGACTGGTGCAGCGTCTCCTGCCGGCAATGATCCAGTGACTGGTGCAGATTCTCCTGCCGGCAATGATCCAGTGACTGGTTCAGCGTCTCCTGCCGGCAATGATCCGGTGACTGATGCAGATTCTCCTGCCGGCAATGATCCAGTGACTGATGCAGCTCCTCCTCCTTCTCAATATTGAGTTGATTATATATTGTGCTACTAATAAATGTGTACAACATATGTACACACACGTATCTACGTTATCGCAATATGTATATCTATCACAATTATCTCTCTGATGATGTGATAGATACATTTATTTCTCGTATTATAAAGAGTCACTTGTTTATGCTATGGTTGATTGTATACATGTGTAATTCCCTCACTAAAAAAAAAAAAACTCTAATAAAGCAACTTGATATATATAGTAGTAGAAACAAAACGTGCAGATAATATTAATGGACCTCTTCTCTAGTCATTCACCAGGTGCAGTTGGTCCGAGGGCTTTCACAAGTAAATAGTACTATGAATGAAACACTTTGATTTCACTGGAACTTCAAATGGTATTTAAATCACATAGTGTCTTAATCCTATTGATCAAAATCGTGAAGTTACGACTCTCGCCGTTTCTATTTATATTTTGTCATTTTTTATTTCACATGCATTAAGAAATTAAATAAATTTACTATTATACCCTTATTTTGAATTTATAAACTGACAAGTATTATGAAACAATTATTTGTAGTAAAGATGACATATAAAAAGGAAAGGATAGAGTAATTTTTTAGAAAAAATTGAGTAGAATTGTCTGGTATATATTATCCTATTATTACACAAATATTATGATATACACGCCAAATTTTACTTGTGTATATTCTGAATATACAAAAATATGAAGGTAAGGAAGCCAGGGGGAGCCACCTTAGGCGAAGGGTGTTCCGATATACACCTTTCGTCAAAAAATTATATGGTGTCCATAAAATTAAGTGTTAGTAATTAATATGAGTGTATATTTTATTTTATACACTCATAACACAACTGAAAGGAAAATTGTACATTCTTCACCGAGTTTCTAGCCACTGAAGAAATGATTTCGAAAATAAATTGTTTCATAAGCATAAAGACTTACTATTAGTTTTTAATTTCTTTGGAATTGTCTTTCTTTAGTCGTATAACACTATCAATTATCATCGTCTCACTAAGGCCCAGCCCACTAAGACCAAGTAATGGGATTGAATGGACTTACCCGTTTAGAACCCGGCCCAAAATCCCATTCATAGGTTCGTCCCATACCATTTAGTTTTGAATTTTCTTTTTAATCAACACAAACGGCTCTTTACTTGAACACCCTTCGTTAAAAAATTATACGATGTATATAAAAAATCATGTGAAGTATATATTCTAAACAAGAAGAAGAAAAACTGTTTTTACCGTCGTGTGAAATCTTTTTTTTTTTTGGTAATGTGCTCACTGCTCTTATATCTGCTCCCATATATTTCATTAATCACAATGATATTTATTAATTACATATGTTTGCCAGAAATGTCATTTATTTTTGCTGCATGTATAATTGCAGTTTTCTGCAATCATTAAGGAGGACCATGTGGTTATGAATTAATTATGACGTGTTTGAGTTGAACAAACTGTATTGATGTATTGATGTTATATTTAGTTCAACACTTTCTAAAAGCTAAGAGTATCGATCAAATTTTACCCCTCTGTACATTATTAATTGTTATGCTTTTCATTTTTAGTTAAAATATAAAAATTTTAATTAATATTTTACCATATATTTTTAATCATGTTATTATACAAAAAATTGCAATTTGTAGTACTTTTTATTTAGTTTTTAAACATTTAAATTTTTTGTTCAAAATATTAAACTAATGTACTATAATTTAACTTTTGAATATTAGTTAAAAACATTTTTAAAAAATATAACATGACAAATAAAAATAAACGAATGACATAATTTTAGAAAATAAGTATATTTAACTTTGGGAAATTGAAATTAATTCAGTAGTTTGGTTAACATTTGTAGAAATCTATCATTTATTTCTTTGATGAAGGTGATACATGATCTTTACCAAAAGAAGGAGATTAATTAATTAAGAAAAGACGAGAAATAATAAATGATACGGCAATAATAATGAGGTTGGTGGGCATATGGTGGTTTATCTACTTCCCTCTATTATCACGAAGTCCTTAATCACTGAATTTATCTTTTTATTACTCTATCCGTCCATTTTTAATTGTTTATATTATTAAAAATATATTTTTTTCGTTTTATTTTAATATCATCTACTTTTATAAATAGTTGATTCATATTACTTGTCATTTCATAAAATCAAGATAAAATACATCAAATTTCTCCTGAATTTGGCACGAAAACTCGCTTTAGTACTTAAACTACACGGATAGTTATTTACCCCCCTAATTTCTTTTCAAGTGAATTAAAATACACCCTAATATAATAATACAAGTCTCACAATGGCAAGTGCATTTCACACACGTCATGTCATCGATACGTCAGTGCCACATTAGCATCACGTCATTGCCACATCAACATTCCATTCAACATATTTAAATTTTGATTTTTAATTCTTTTTTATTTCTTTTTATCTGCTCACAATTTTAGAAAGTAAAAAAAAAACTCAAAAAATAAGAATTAATATAAGAAAAATAATCTATAAAAATCAATTGAAAGAGATTCAAATTCTCAAAACCATTTGTGAAACACTCAATTTTTAAGACACAAAATTAAAACAAATAAATGATAACTACTAAAATTTTCATTTGAAATGAAAATTTGTAGAGTTTCGTTGAGCATAACTTCAAGTTCATCACATTCAAATCTTGCCATAAAGACATTAATTTGAAGCAAGAACAAATTGATGACTTTTCAAATTTTTCTTTGTTCATCACATTTTTTGAATTTATCGATAGAAATTAAAGGAAATGAGGATGGGATGGATCCGTCTTGAAGAAGGAGAAAAATATGAAAAGTATAACAAAGAAAAAGATAAGAGATAAGAGATAGGAAGACAAATAAATAGGGTAGGAGTGGGGGTTCGTTGGAGGTGGAGGTATCGAAGAAGAAGAAAGGGTAGTGCAAGTGGTGGAAGAGGTGGATTGTGTGTGAGGAGGATGAAAGGACGGGAGGTGGGGTTGGGGTTGGTGGTACTAAAGGTTGGGGGTGGTAGGGTATGAAGAAGATGAAACAAAAAAATTATTGGATAAAATAAAAATAAGTTGGGGTCCACTCATTCTTTTTTTCCTTACTGTTTTATGCGCCTCGGTTTTTTTGCTTGCCATGTTAGCAATTTGGGTGTATTTTAATTCACTTGAAAAGAGATTAGGGGAGTAAATAATTATCCGTGTAGTTTAAGTACTAAAGCGAGTTTTCGTGTCAAATTCAGGAGGAATTTAGTAAATTTTCCCTAAAATCAATGCACAAGTTATTATATTGTTTCCTTTTTTACCTTGTAAGTTATTAGCCTTGAAAATATATATTTGACCAACTTAGAAAAGCTAACTAAATGATTCATTTTCATTGATTAATTAACTAATCAAAATAAATTAATTCATATTTATTGACTGAAAACTTGAGTCTTAAAAAAATTTAAATAAGTGTAGAAGGATAAAATTACATCATATCTTAATGCGAGTATAAAGTATGAGACGAAAGGAGTAGTTGCTACCTTTATTTATCGGCCAATCTCAAAAATCAAGAGACAAATTACAATTTACTGTTACAATTAAAGATTATTCATTTTTTAATATTTAGATGACTTATACTTACTCTATTCATATTTATTTGTTAATTTTTAAAATAGATCTTAATTTTTTACTTTTTATTTAAATATCAAAAAAATTTCGGTTATGTTTCACCTTCAAAATTACTTATTTTTCAAATCATTATTTAATAAAAGATAATTTATAAAATACATTCAATAATCTTTTTTCTTATTGAATATGACAAGTCAATATATGACAAACAAAAATAAATAAAAAATACTACTCAAATAAAATCATCCCAATGTTCATTATATTTAAAAAATATCAAATCAAACCTAATCAAATAAACGAGAATATTGCGATATGATGCGGGAATAAGTACTTCTTAAGATATAATTCCATTATCAACTCTGGAGACCCCACTCTTTCATCTTTCTATATAATTCCTTTTTTTTTCGAATATATAATTAAAATAAAATATTAAAAAAGGCCCATCACTTTTGTAAATCAATATTTTCAAATCAAATTTGTCTCCACCAGAAAATAAAAAGTCAAACTTAGCTTGTTATGGTGAGATGACGTGCCTTCATCAATACAAAATCAGTATAAAGTTTGATAGATGCAGTCTATTCATGGGACATGTGAATATAATACTTAAATTAACAGCAAAAGGTCTAAAATGACCTCCACAAAATATCAAAACGAACAAATTTATGCAGTCTATTCATGGGACACACACTGTCATTTCCACCAGAAAAAAACGTTTGCCTAACACTTGTTAGAGGAAAAAGTAATTAAAAATTTCGTTTAGCCTAACTCAAATCTAATTCATCAAATGATGACCGTTAAAAATTATAAATAGATTAATTTCCTATCTCACATGAATTAATGTGAGATAACTCAATCCCTCCCCCAACCCACCAAAATCTCTCCTACGTTAAGGTCACAATTCGAGTTTTTAATAGTTAACACTGATGATACAATAAGAAATGAATTCTAAATCAAATTGAATTTGAAAAATCAACTCATAAAACGAGAATTATTCAAAATTCATTTAAGAACATCGAATTCCCGTCCCACAAAAGATGGATGGCTCAACACATGTTTGCTTTGCATCGTCAAACAAAAAATACAAATTTTAGCTTTTCAACTACTTCCAACCAAGAAATAAATGGGTGTGGATACCTTCCAATTAAATACATAAAATGGATTCTAATAATTTGAGTTTCCAGGCTACAAGCACGCAGTCGCAATTAAAAAGAATTATTTCACGTTTTGATATACTATTGTAGAGTGCCTAACATTTCAACGACAACAATTTATAATTAGAAATCAAACTAATGAGTACGTATTACCCATGGAAAAAAGAATTAACATAAATGGGAGTCCATTCGTATTGCTATATCAATTGCTCCTATATGACATAAAGTTTATATTCATTCTCAATTAATATTGGTTCTCTATACAACCACCCCTTTCACAAAAAGGGGAAAAAAGTGGATCGTTAATACTCATATTATATCAAAGTTCCTTTTTGAAAATAAAGGGAGTCTGTTACTGGGCTATTGATTATTTCTTTTGCTCCAAATTACATTATATTCTCTAAAAATTAATAGTTCATAGTATTT